TAGGCAGGGGGGATTGGCACTGAAAATACTTACACTTAAGAGGAGGAAAATGACTTGGATGCAGAAAAAAAACCAGAACTGGGGTGAGAGAGGGAGAATGAAAAACAAGTAAAGAACACGTATAAACGATGCAAAGAAGAAGCACGTGACACGTTTGTCACCAGGTGTATAGTATTTATAATTAAATAGAAGGGAGAAACACTTCTCATTCACGCTTAGCAGTCCTTGGAGATTTTGCTAATGGAATTCTGCACCGATGCAGTGATTCTCTTGTAGTGGTACCAGATCAGGTTTTCTTCCTGTAATACAAAAGGTGTTTTTAATAACATCAGATTCCCCTGAAATCTGGTGGGGACTTTCTGCCTCTTACCACGCTTAGACAAAGGCCCACCAATGGGCTGACAGTTCTATCAAAATAATGTTGTGCAGAGCTAAAGAAAGGAATCACTTGTCTATCTCCGTAAAGTGGCAGCTGAGACTGTGACCCAGGGGGCAGAGCTACAGAGTAAGAGGGTGCCATTTTTAAATGCTTTTTTGACCATACTTTAAAACCCGTATGGGACCCCCTTGTACAGCCAACCACCATCTTGCCCATCGTTCCAGACTTAAATCTTAATTGAGGATTCATCTTCCAAATAAACACATTCCCACGTCTCCACCACAAACTTGGGTCGAAGCCAGCTACATTGGTGTACAACCACTGAAAAGAATATATTGCTCATGTGCATGCGTACTTGGCTGCATATGTACTTCCCAGGAGTGCCTGGGTCATTTTAAAGTGTGATGCACCATGCGTAGGTATCCCAGTGTGTCACACAACACCATCCAGTGCAATGCCTTTTGGGGGAGTTTTCACAAGCTGGAAGGTAGAAATGAGTTGCACAGCAATCTCTGGAAGCTGTGGGTCAGGTTTCCAGAATGCAGTGTTCTCCATCCCATAATACCATCCCTATTCTGTAATTTTCATGCCTTTCATTTAAAATCCCATAAACGGGCTGGGCACTTTTCATGTCCATCGTCCCTTGTAGGTGCATAGGGCCTAAAGAGCTCTCCACTGCTTCAACAACAGGTAGGGTTGCCAGGTGTCCGGTATTCACTCAGCTAGTCCGGTATTTTCGCCTCCTGTCCAGTAAAAAAAATTCAGAGAATACCGGACACCTGAGATCTGCACTCAGAGTGACCTTGCTGGCATCAGTGTAGGCTGGCCTGGGAAGATGCAATTCCCTTGCATCTTTAAAAACAGAGGGTTGTTAAAAATAAATAAATAAATAAACCTGCGAACAGGGACATTCCTGACTGGCAGATTGCCATTAGTGAAATGAAATGCCAGTGATGAGTCTGGGAGGGACACAGCCTATCCCTTGTTCCCTTGACTCAGGAAACCATATACTGGACAGCACCAAGGAGAGATTCATTCATGGCTCAGCAGGTGTTGAATGATAGTTGACAGTGTTTCCTGTGCACTTGTGCAGCCACTTGGGAAAGATTCAGATGCCGCCCAGCTGATTAGCAGAGTGCCCACAGCTATGTTTTTTGTTTCTCCTGGGGGTGCACATTCATATATGCCTTGATGCACAGAAAACAATTATTGCGCACATGAATGGAAAAAATCTGTACATGGCTGGAAAAGATTAGAGGGAGCATTGATCGTTGAAAGTGCTTTTTGTAGATTGAAGGGATGCTGGCATTGTTTGCTGACCAGATCTGCTCTCCGTGAGACAAGTAGATGTATAGTAGAATAGTTATAGCTGCCTATTGGGAACTGCATAGTATCTGTAAGGCAAAGGAGGAAAAGCTGCTGCCAGAGTGGAGGTGAAACTGAGTTTAGCAGGGCCATTGCAAGAGCTCAACATGGAGCTATGCGATTGAGAGAGGCTTAGAGGAGCACTTCCGTGGTCAGTCACCACAGTGTTCTGTGCTGGAGTGTTTTCTGGGCTGAAGGTTTGGGTGCTCTTAGGAATTGTCGTCCTTCCTAGGGATGTGAACGGTTAACCAGTTAACTGGGTTAATGGGTGTTGCTTACAGATTGCAGTTAACTGGTGGGAGCTGGAACAGCTTCCTGCGTGCCAGGGGCAGGGGACTGCTTCAGCCCCGCAAGGGGCCCACCGTGGCAGGGGCTGCTCTGGCCAGCTCAGGCTTGTCGCAGGCAGGGGCTAGTCTGAAACAAAAAACATCTGGGGGAGGCCCTGTCTGCAATGTTCCCTGGGCTCCTGCAACGGAGGAGGGGGCAGTGCTCCAGCCTGGCCACAGTGGGAGAAAGGGCTACTCAAGCCCAGCTGGGCTGGAGTGTCCTCCCCCCACTAATCCCTGCTTAATCAGTTAACTAGTTAAACCTAACATTTAACCAGCTAACCGATTAAACAGGATTCTACATCCCCAGTCAGATACATTCATATCTGTGATTGTGAGTTTGCAACGGAGGAGGGGGCAGTGCTCCAGCCTGGCCACAGTGGGAGAAAGGGCTACTCAAGCCCAGCTGGGCTGGAGTGTCCTCCCCCCACTAATCCCTGCTTAATCAGTTAACTAGTTAAACCTAACATTTAACCAGCTAACCGATTAAACAGGATTCTACATCCCCAGTCAGATACATTCATATCTGTGATTGTGAGTTGTACTGGACCTATTTTATGCAGTGCTTGCTGAATCCGATTCTTTCTCCTCTCTCTCTTCATGCCTAACGCTACAGGGAAATGAAGCACAGCTACCAGCTCTGCCTCTATTGGGTGGCCCACTACCTCTTCTTGCATGAGTAAAACGGTGAAAAGTTGGATCTTTGTCTCATTAACTTGGTGATGGGCCACGTGACATCTTTAAATTTAGGAATGGTAAGGGAAAATGCATGGACACAGACGTCCCTTCCCCTTCATTGGGTCTGTCCAGGTCTGGCAGGCTGGACTGGCTAGACTGAGGGAGATTCTCAGATAGGTCTTGGCTCATGCCATAGCTGGAACCCTGCCTGTCCCGGCCCCCCTTCCCGACAGCATCTCTTGCTCCACACTGTTCGCTGCAGGAGTCTCTGTCTTGGACTCTTCCAAGGTGTTCACCATGCTTTGTGGGGTGCTGACGTGGACTTCCCCAAATATGCCATGCAGTTTGTTGTAAAAGTGGCAGGCCTGCAGCTCCGCACCAGAATGATTGTGAGTCTCCCTGACCTTGTGGTGTGCTGGCATAGTTCCTCGTGTGTCATTGCACCTGATTCCTGTCGTATCCTGTGCCTGCAATCCCCCATGCAATCTTTTGATAGATATCACTGTTTCTGGTGCTGGTCCATAGTTGTGCTTGCACAACCTCTTTTGCCCATAGGTCCTGGAGATCCAGTACTTCTGGTCTATTCCAGGAAGGAGTGCATCTAGTGGGGAGTTGGAATGGTCACTTGGGTCATTGCATGCAACAAGAGAGCTGCTAATTGTGCTTGCCATGGTGGAAAATTGGGCAAAGGCATTTCAAAAACATATAGGAAGGAGGTTTGAGGTGAGGAAGGCTTGATTCTGGCCTGTATGACTCTGCGGAGTGCATTCACAATTGAGTCAAAAACACTCACTGTTGCAGGAAATGCAGCCTTGTTGGCCTGCTGCTAAGAATCGCTAAGGTTGATATAGATCATGCAGTGTTTGCACGCACACTGTGCCAGTCTCAATAGATTGACCTCAATAGATCTCAATGGCATTTGGGGAGGTGGTTTTACTGTGTCATCGTAATAGGGTGATTATGTTGGACTAGGGATGTTAAATTTCGATTAATAAACTAATTGAATAGTCGATGGAACTTCCATTGACTACTTGATTAGTTGATAAGGGGGGCACTCGCTATCCCACTCCACTTCTCCCTTTGAAATGTACAAGAGCTGCTCACAGCTCTGTACATTTCAAAGAGAGAAGTGCAACGGTTGGGACCCCACACGAGTAGGACCTGCTTTGGTCCCCGGAGGTCCCAGTACATATCAAAGAGATTGGTGCAACAGCAGGGATGCCTCTCCTGCCCCCTGCAAAGACGGTGCTCGGGGGGAACCGACATTTAAGCTGGCTCCCACCAGCACGGGTTCCTGCTCCTCCCCACTTGCTGCCTCTCTTTGATAGAGGCAGCGGTTAGGGGGGAGCAAATAGTCAAGTGACTACTCAACTATCTGATAAGATTATGCTTATCAGATAGATGACTAGTCGGTTACATCCCTATGCTGGACAGAGATTAATTTGAGTGTAGACACAGGCAGAAATAGGCCAACACAAGGAAATTTATGTTGGCCTAACTTCATAGTGTAAACCAGGCTTTAGAAACTGAGTGAGTCCAGGGACTAGATGTAAAAACCCTGAGTCGTGACTAGGTAGTGTTACTATCAAACTACTCACTGTTCGTAAATAACATAAAATAAGATTGGATCTTTATCCAGATCCTGCTGTGCATTTCCCGATATAATAGACATACTTGTTGGCATGAGGGACCAGTGACTTAAGTGGGTGGAGAATGTAGGCAGATGGGTCACGGAGCGGCCATAGTCTATAGGCATTTCTGTGGTCAAGATGAGACAAGATGCAGGCATGAGTGGAGACTGGTATGGTCAAAGAAAAGGTGCTGCTGAAGTAGTGATAGACAGGTTGACAGATATAGGAAATGTGGAAGGGAGGGCAATTCAGTGTGAAAAGGACTCGTCCTCAAGGTGCAGACAGTAGAAGGAAAAGGGGAGGTCGTAGCTGAGGTAGGATATGGAATAGCACCTAAAGATGCTCTTGTTGCCCAGGAGAAATGCATTTGAGCTATTTAGTTGATCAACTCAAAATTGTAAAGAACACGAATTCAAGGGCATGTCTGAGCGATGTGTAATTGCAAAGTATTTTTACCCTCAGGTGATCAGTTATTGGGGTCATTGACTGTAACTCAAACATGCATCCCCTTTTTATTTCAGGTTATTGGACTACTTCCACAGCACTAATTCCATTCCTTTGCTTGTTGGTGGGGTCGGGATATTTTATTCTGCCTGATGCCTTTATTCTCTCATTCTCCAGCTGCCTCATACACCGACAGCTCTGATGATGAGACTTCCCCCCGAGACAAGCAGCAGAAGAACTCCAAAGGCAGCAGCGATTTCTGTGTGAAAAACATAAAGCAGGCGGAGTTTGGGCGCCGAGAGATTGAAATTGCTGAACAAGGTAAAAGGAGGGAGGTTCCTCACGTTTGATATTGCGAGCTGGACTTCTCACCTAAATAGCTTTAAATCCTGAGTCCCTCAGACCTTCCCATCCTGCAGAACTTTTAACAAGGGCTTGTTGAAACTGTTCTTCAGCAGAAAATTGGGTTTTTGACTTGCCCAGAGAAGTGTCTGTTTTTGTTTAAAAAATTTTTTCTAAACCCAAAACATTTCAGCCAAAAATTCAACTATTTCAGTTTGGAAATTCAAATGTGGTGCCTCATGTGAGTTTTTGTTTCCTCGGGTCCTTATCCTCCAGTATGGGCCAGTCAGACTATGCCTCCCATAATGCACTTGTGGTGCAGTTGCCTCTTTTCACCATAAGAGGAGAGCATGGTGCATGATGGGAACTGAAGTCTGACCAGGAACCACAGAGAGTAAAAGCCTATGGCACCACAGAAATGTTTGTGAATTAAAATATTGAAGTATTTGGACAAAGCATTTTCCCTGAAAGTCTTAATTTTTCCATGGAAAACGTTTGACAAACTAATTAATATGAAAAACCAGGACTATGTAGCACTTTGAAGACTAACAAGATGGTTTATTAGGTGATGAGCTTTCATGGGCCAGACCCACTTCCTCAGCTCAAATAGTGGAAGAAAATTGACATGACCATATCCTTTGGTATATATGGTCATGCCAGTTTTCTTCCACTATTTGATCTGAGGAAGTGGGTCTGGCCCACGAAAGCTCATCACCTAATAAACCATCTTGTTAGTCTTTAAAGTGCTACATAGTCCTGGTTTTTCATATTTGTTGAAACTTTCCAGGGGGAGGGAGAGACTAGGTCCATTTTTTGACTAGTTATACTTATACCCTTTTATACTTAAGAGTTCCTGTTACAAGAGAGCTATGTGATGCACCTTTAAGCAGGTGTAAAAGGCAAGAGGCTCCAGTGGCTTAACACAAAATAGGGAAATATTTGTGTCCTAAAATTTCTTAGGCTACCGTAACCTCCTCTCTGTACGTCTCCTTTAAGAGTTCCCCTGCCTTTTTCTGGGACTTTCAGCATCTCACTGATTTCTTCAAGCATTGTTCCTGCTAATAAAAGTTAGGTTAACCTACTGGAGAACAGAAAAAAACATACCTTGTGTTCTAAGTAATCCACCAAACAGAAAATCTTGACTTTTCAAAGACCTGTTATACAAACACAAGAGGGTTGTCAGACAATTCACAAATAACAGGCAAAGTTGTAAAAATCCTGATTAGTTCAGACCGCTTGTGAAAAGGGATCAAATCCAATTACTAGATTGTTCGCAAGGATTACAGTGGTCACAAATAATGTGGGCTTATGCAAGTCCCGGCTTGCTACGCGTGTGCTGAAGACATAATAATAAACCTGAAATTCTTACCCAGCCATAGTAGAGTGCCAACAATTGGATTTTACCATGAGTCTTGTGATATTTGGATTTCTTCAAGCACCAACTCAAGTAGACAAGTGATCATGTGAAAATTTCAGCTTCCTTTGGGGAGGGAGCGGCAAGTTTCTAGCTATTTTGGTTGCAGAGAACAGCTTGAAAGTGTGACTGGACTGTAGCCTGAAGACTTAAACACCCAGGAGGCAAGAATCTGAAATATATTAATTTTTAAAAATCTTAATATTTTTAAGCCGATTTAATGGTTTGGAAGGCCAGAGTCCTGCCTGTTGAGGATATGGGGTTGGCAACACTGCACAGACTTATTACAGTAGGTCTTTGGGACGACCCTGAGGCAGAGTAGTGGTGCTGAGTGTCTGCTTCCTTGTGCCGAATCTTCTTTGCTTTTTACTGATGGATTTTTCTTCCCTTCCAGAAATGCCTGCACTAATGGCTTTAAGGAAGCGAGCTCAGGGAGAGAAGCCATTGGCTGGGGCCAAGATTGTGGGCTGCACACACATTACTGCACAGACTGCTGTAAGGCCCTGCTTTACTTATTCAGTTCTTTTCCCTTTGCAAAGAGTATTTCAGCACAAAGCCTCTGTGCATTCCACGGTAGGGTGACTCCGTTGGCATACAAAGTATGTGCTCCTAGGAAATCGTCTCCCTGAAATAGACCTCATTGCGAAATGCCATGTTTGGAGGAAAATAGGTTTCCCAGAGATTGAATGACTTGGTGGATAGCTGAGGGGATGTGCTGCTAGTGACTCCTAAGTGCCCTGTCCGAGTCTGGCCCAGGATGGTAGTGACTGTCTGTTGTTGGATGTTCAGTGATCTGCCTGAGCTGGGTTGGTGGGAATCGATCCAGTTCCCAGACAATGGCAGTCCACAGCTCAGAAAACACCAAGACAGTAGGCACTAAATCATACCTCTGTTGGCAGTCTGAGCAGGCAGGCCAAAGAATCAATAGGCCGTGAAGACTGAAACCTATTCTCAGTCCTTCTGGGGCAGGCGCGTATTAGCGGGGCAGTGTAAGGGAATCCTGCATTGCAGCTGCTCTTGGGGACAAAGAGGATTTCAGTCTCCAGAGATGTCAATCCAGCACATCTCCCAAATCACTTTGTAAAAAGGAAAATTGCCATCTTCTGAGAGGCCTGTTTAATAAGGGCTCATGCCTGTCTATATCTCTCTTTAGACTGTACATGTTAACGTCTGAGAGGTGCATGCGTCTGTGAGCTGCTCCTATGAGTAACAATGTTTTTTTTTTTTTAAAGTTTAGAATCCAAAAAGAGGGGGAAGTGGTTAAGGCAAGTGAAGGCACTGTGATTCAGGGCGCTTGGATTTTGGGGGTTCCCAGCACTGACAGGGAAGGCCCTCTAACGACTAGCAAGGGAGTAGGGTTAGAGGATTTGCTATCTCTGGATGAAACGGACTGTTTTATTTTTTGTATTCATTCGTTTGAAATGATAGGTTCTCTGATGCATGATCTGTTCCTCCCTGTTTCATACAGCACTGACCACACTGTTAGGGCTTGTCTACACACCACTGCATTAGACCAGGGCACGCTGGCATTTCTACATAACTTTATTCATGTGATCCCTGCTGGCATGCACTAAAGTGCACTAGTGCCCGCTAGGGAGCTTTCAGTGCATGCAAGTTTGAAATGATAGGTTCTCTGATGCATGATCTGTTCCTCCCTGTTTCATACAGCACTGACCACACTGTTAGGGCTTGTCTACACACCACTGCATTAGACCAGGGCACGCTGGCATTTCTACATAACTTTATTCATGTGATCCCTGCTGGCATGCACTAAAGTGCACTAGTGCCCGCTAGGGAGCTTTCAGTGCATGCAAGCAAGGCTCTAGCACCATGGTCACCAACAGGTCGATCGCGAGCTACTGGTCGATCGCAAGGCCTCAACCAGTCGCTCGCGCGGCGCG